AGATAGCTGAAAATACGACGCCCAGCGGAGTATTTTTGACGAATTTCGAGGTGTTTCATCTAGTGATGAAACACAGTGTCGAATGCTTGATATTACTTCTCAAACAAAATGATTTTAGAGGGAGAAATTAATCATGCAAAAATGAGCAGTTTTTCATCTGATTCACACCGGCAAACGCTCATCAAACTTTAATTTCCTTTGTATTTTCTTTACGAATTATTGATGAGTTTGAGGACTATTGATGAACCTGTGCTTTGATTTAATTTTCAAATTGGGCATTAAAGGAACAGTATCCCGTTACTGCGCATGCACCAAACTTTGATTTTTGGACAGGATGTCGCGAAATCAAAAGATGCGAGGAGAGTAAGAGAATCTTGAAAAATCCGTTTGCATCGCGCTTGGCCGGGTTCAATACGTCACTAAAACTCCTCAGGATTATAGATCAATGATATATTGTTCCTGTTAAGTTTCGATTTGGGCAAAATCTGGATTTTTTGGCGTTACTTTTATTGCCGTTGGCCGGAGGACCAAAAGATTGGAAGCACTTTGATGCCGATTGAAGGCGTATTTCTTCTGCTAGCTTCCATACAAGCTCAGATGATTGTGAAAGGAATACGCAGAAATGAAACAGCAACAATAAAGACTGTACGAAAGAAACCGTTGAGACATTGATGTGACTGAGGAGATCTTGTGGAGAGGAGCTTCGTGAAGCAGAATGTTTTGCAACGACGCGTTAATAAACTTTTAAAATGAATCTCCCTACGGCCGACAAAATCGAACAAACAGGCGCTACATGTTTTGAAAAACTTGTGACATGAAATCATAATATCGTTTTTGCCTAACCTTTGTGATGATTCATAGCGTTGAGATTGCATTTTTATTTATGTCTTTCAAACGTTTGAGGCTAGAACGCGAGCAAATCAGGCAGGTATTACTGGACTTGGAACGATTGACCTCTGACACGAGTTTCAAATTAGAAAATATGTTTTTAAAGCGAGCGGAACGAGATTTTCTGGTCGCGAGGAGGCCCAGCTAGCGATAAAATCGCGATGAGTCTTCGAACCGCGAGCCAAATTTTTATATAAGACGAAAGACTTCTTCGAAAGTCTAAAATATTACTTGAGACTATAAACAACAAATCTCTGTCGGCGGTGCGGTCCGGAAGGAAATCTTGTCGAGTCAATTTGACAGTTCTATTGTCTTTTGAAGAAAAAACAGATGACGCTCGCGCGTGCGCATAATCGGGACACTATCCCTTTAATAACAGAGTGGCAAACTATCGAAAAAAAAACTTATATAGTGGCAGTTCACTGTCAGTTATAAGGAATTAACACTTATCCTTCTAACTGACTTCTGTTTAATTGTTCCGAGGGTGCTCACCGTTTCGTAGACTTGCCACAACGTGCCCTCACAAGTTTCACAACACAAAACCTGAAAAGAAAAGGGTGCGGAGCAACAAGGGACTTCTTTGAAAGTCAAGCCGTTTCCTTACCGTATTTTCACGAAATTCGCAATGATCTTGACATCAGTGTTCACCATTCTAAAAGTATTTAAAAAATCCCAGTCCTACACTTTGATTTACCCCCTGAAAGGGTTGCACGAGGAGGGAAACCTGTTGCACCATATCCGCCATTTTGTAAACATCTATGAGAATACGACCTAGTTTCAGTCTTGTCTTCGTCGGAAATTCGGCGCCTTCCTGAATGCGTTATATGGCAGAGGATCCCGCTTTTTCTCTCTTCCCACCGTCCTCCGCGGGCTTTCTATTTTTCCATTATTGCTATTTTTATTGGGATACCCAGCAGGAGCGAGCCACTGTACTATACACTGAAGTGCCGAAAAATCAGTAACTATCAATTATTAACATGGCACATTGAATATTCAATTGATCCCGATAACTCGAGGCCCCGCTAACTCGAACTGTTTTTTGGTTTCCTTCACAGTTCGAGTTATCGGGGTTCTACTGTATACCATTTGTTCAGTTTTGGAATTAAAGTATAACTAGAATTATAGCCAGCTTGAACATTTCTCAAGTTAATGCCTCTCGTGATTTTCAAGTGGAGAGCTAACTACTAGAATTTTTATTGTTCTATTACAGAGGTACCATCGGTGTGGAGAAGGTCGGAAGACACTCTTCTTTCTAATGCGATTAAAAATAAAAGACATCTGACTGATTTAAATTAGGTTCTGACTATATCAGCCGGGATGGTTCTCCGCGCCAAAAATCAATTTTGTGATTACATGACAACCAAGCTAGCCCGGTTGGCTGGGATCTCGGTATCGAGATCACTGGCGTGCATACCACGATAAAAGTCTCCTCTACAAAGCTAACCGGCACAGCTCGTGTAATCCCGGAACCCTTGTAGCTGAGTTCGTCGTAGGTAAATAATTTTGCCGAAACGTCCTCAAGTTACTCATTGATTGATTGATAACTTGCAGTATCATTAAGCAGAAGAGAGCGTGAAATAAATCAGACACTATAACGACCAGTAAGTCTGAAGTTATTAAAAAAAACGACTTACCTTTCCTAAACTTTTGCCCTTCAACGGATCTGTTTCTTCCGCTTTTCCCTTACAAAGTTTGTATATCGACAGAGCAGGAATAGAAAAAATATTAAACGGTACTGGAATATTAATGGGATGATAGTTTCGATACGTCTGGACTGCAATTGCTTTTTTGAAAAGCCATTCGTTTCGTGAATTATCCTAAAAGAAAATGATACAGAGAGTACGAGGATATTTCTGGGATCTGGGATTTCGCCAAAATACAGTGTTGGATTCCTGAGACGATAACAGGAGACGGGATTTTATTGCTACCCGGGAGGATAAATTTGCGCAAAAATGAGCACGAATGCGGGATTGGGAACGAAGATTATATTTGGGATGGGTAGGACAGATACTCTGGATGCGGGATTCGTGTGAAAGAGGAGCGCGAATGCGGGGTCAAACAAGTCAGTTTTGAAGCAGTTCAAAACACTCACCGCGCCCGTGTTTTATGAAGTCAAAAAATCATCTCGCTTCGCACTCGAATTGTTAACCTTGATAGACACTACTTTTCAAACTGTTAAACGGATTAGGTATCTGATAAAATAGAAAAAAATAAAGTAATGTAACCTCAAGTAACAGAAAGTTTTTGACAATTACCTGCACCCGCTGGTAAGTATTGGAAAGCAAGGCGATTAGCATGTTGATCAGCATGATAAGGGTCAAAACAAGATAAGCAGCAAATAAAAGTTGAGCGAGGGCTTCTGAATTTGAATCAGTAGATTCAAGAGGACTCAAGCCTTCTGATAAATCAAGTGAAGACCAACCAAGGTGGGTAGCTATCTTCCACCAGCTAGAAATAATTTAAGGAAAAAAGAAAAAAAAACATTAAGTATCATTATAATAATGATTTTGTCATACACAAACAAGTAAAAGCTAACCAAATAATGCCCCTACGTTTCGGCGACCTCATGACGCCATTATCAAGGAATGAGCTAATGAAAGAGAGTTCGTGTAAATTTACATCAAGGAAACTATAAGCAAGACAAATAATTTAGCACGGATTGAATCTGTTTGTAGGTTCCGACCTGAAGCTCGATGTCAAAAGCACAGGGGTGGGTGGGATAGTCTTTTAACAGTCTAACTTTGGTTACTCTTGGCACCCTTGAGTTTCAGTGCGGGGTTGTTTTGGCAAGTCAGGTCAGGGATCTTAGCGATTTGCTCTAGGTTTTCGCTTGGACATACAAATTCAGAGAGCCTTGACATCAAAGCCTAGTCTGTAGCATATACTGGTAGCTACATGTAAAGGAACGAAGTGAGAGGGAATTTATTTCAACATCCTGTACCACTTTTGATTCGGTTGGCCCGAAAAGCTACGAACTTTATTCGACGTTTTTAAGAGAACATTTGCACTAAAGTGGCGTTTAACAATAGAAAGTCACTATATTGCGTCACAGGAATGCTCACACACATTTAGATTCTTATGCTCATATAACAATTGGTATACAGACCCAGATGTAAGACATTCTATCCTGTTGCAAATCTAATTGGTAATTTCAATCGTTTTCATACGTTGACTTTATACGTATATAACGAAAATCCAAATCATTTAAAGAAAACTGTCCAGCCATGGGCATTTTTTTCTTTAAAGGAAGGAGTAATCGGTAACAACTACTCATGAAAAGTCTTGACTTACCATTGTAATCCAGATTTCTGGCAAACTCTGCAATGAAAGAAAATATGTTTTTAATCAGACCAGTTATTTTATTTATCATTGTTTTTTTCCTAAACGACTTTGTCTGCGAGCCTTTTCTCTTTTATAGCGGAGCCCTCATCCTACTCAGTTAATTCACTTCTACAAGTAAGTTGATGTCGTTGAAATGTCACACAAACTAAAACGACAATCCTCCGTCAGTTTCATTAATTTTTATACTACAACCGTATCAAGGTCAATTGACAGCTGTCAAAATGCGGCAGATGCCGGCCGTTAGCAAATGACTGTGTTTCGGGCTTAGGTGCAAGACAGCATCATTTAAGCCGTCGATAAAACCCGGGACAAGGAACATTTCAGAACATTCCGGGATATTAATTAATTTTAAAAAGTCAAAATAATAATAATAAAAAAATGAAACTGTACCATTCATTGCTGCCGCGCAAGCGAGCTCGAAGCGAGCGAGCAAAGCAGCAGAGCTATTCTGTACAGGGACAAAAATTTTCGATTTCTACCCACGATGCCTCTGGATTTTTAACCACAATGCCTTGCAGGCCCATTGCTTTGATGTACCGACCTCCACGGGCGTTTCAGTGCTATAAGGATTTGGACAAAACACGCGTGAAATTATTCCCTAATTTCACTCGTCTCCATTTGATTACACATACGAACTGAACTTTGTCGTAGTATACATTTTGGCTAGGTATCACACATACACAAGATGAGTTTTTTGCCTCTGAAGTTGATCATTTTTTACCAATTTAAAAAAGTGCGTTTGATTGTAGTTTTTAAAAAAACCGTAAAAATTTCAAAATCGAGTTTATGATTTAAAACATACATTGGATAGAAATTATAGGTATAATACTTTTAAACGAAAACATTTCTGTTTCCTAGCTTTGTATATACTGCCTCGGTAGAGACGCGATAAAGTAGGTCATTTTTACTGTAATTTTTTTATCAGGTAAAAACCGCTATTTTTCGTTTTTGCTCGTTTTCTCTAAAAGTATAGATTCCTAACAGTTGAAAATATTTTTTCCAAGATAGTTCCCCAAAGGGGTTTTTCTGCAAATTATCAAAATGTTATTTTTTTAGCCTGGCCAACGATCTTCGATATTTACAGTCACGGACTAGAAGCCAGCATGGATCATGTTGTTCACCTAATTCATGTTTTTTTTTTTTTTTGGCCGGAACGAGAATGGTCTGTAATAATAAATAATAATAATAATAATAATAATAATAATGCATGTGTGTGGACATGTCGAGAAAAGCAATTAAGGTGAAATGAACAGAACGAATGAGCAGCGATTTATATTCCAGAGTGCAAGAAAAAAGCCAAGGAAATGGTATCTTCAAATAACCCTTCTTATTACAAAAATGGAAGGAAGAAAGGTTATATAGAACTGATGAAGGATTTATGGGAGGAGAAAGGTTATGGATATCTTGAGTTAAGGAATGAAAACTTGAGAGATCAGGCCTCAAGATTGGAAAAAAATGCTGTAGGATCGTGCGAGGAACAACGGAAACTTCAGTTTAGCGGAGGGAAACAAGGGAGAATCTGAGTCCAGTAAAGGAGAGGTTTTTGAAGAAAATAGTCAATCTGCTTATCAAAACAATGTTCCCCGGCAAGCTGAAAATGCTAGTTTTGCAAACTCTGTGAACTTGGATTTGCACACGTTGGTGATTGATGCGGATGTGTTTCATCAAGCAAGTAATGAAGTTAAGCAAACTACTTCTCCCCAGAGATCTCAAGATACAACACAGAGAGCGCAAAACACAATTCAACCAAACCTATCCGATTACGAGGTTTTTCCCATTGAAATCACGAACAAACCGTGGGGCAATATCAGTCACGAGAGCTTCTGTGATACTATTAATGGTGTTTACGATGAAATTGTCTATTTCAGATGAAATATTTTCAATATATCATCGGGAAGAGCCGGAAAAGCCTTTATAGATGAGCTAACACTCTGGATAAAGCAGTTTAATTCGAATTCGGGTCTAAACTCCGTTGCTTTGAAAGCTTTTACGGTGCTCCCAACCTTAAACCTAAAAAAGTCGTCCGCTACTTGTAAAAGCAAGGAGCATAGTGCAGCGATAGAACTAAGATTAAACGTGTGGAGGCAAGGAGATTTAGATCTTTTGTTAAAAGAAGTGAAATTCATCCAAGGTAGGTTTGTGAATTTGAAGAAGGCTAGGACAGTTGAGGACATATCCAAAGTTTTTGCGAAACTAGCTTTCCAAGGAAAGTTATCTGCAGCTATTAAGCTTTTGGATAGCGAGAGCTCAACGGGCTTACTTAACCTTACACCAGAAGTCCTAGAAGGGTTGAAGGGGGAAACACCCGGAAGCGGCAGATATCGCGGATGAGAGTTTATTATACGGGCCCATTTATTACATTCCTCCTGGCGTTTTTTACTTGATCTACGAGAAAATGATCTTTGATGCTGCAAAAAAAAAAAAGAAAAAAAAAAAAGGGCTCAGCCGGGCCGTCGGGGATGGATGCTGAGTTATATCGAAGAATCCTTTGCTCTAAGAATTTTAAGGCTGAGGGCAACGTTTTGAGAGAGGGGGTAGCGTTTTCACAAGAAATCTGTTAAAGATCGCTTACCATCCATCTTTGCTGGAAGGCTATACCTCTTGCAGACTAATCCCCTTGGCCAAAAACCCTGGAATACGACCTATTGGCGTTGGTGAGGTCCTGAGGCGAATTATTGGAAAAACTATTGCTGGATTTTTCAAGGAAGAGATCAAAGAGGCAGCGGGCCTCCTTCGGGTTTGCGCAGGCCATAATGCAGACGTAGAGGCCGCGATACATGCCATGAGTCAAGTGTTTGTAGAGGAAGGAACAGATGGTATTTTACTGGTAAATGCAAGCAGCGCCTTTAACCAAAGGAACAGATCCGTTGCCTTGCATAACATCCAGATAACCTGTAAGGAAATGTCAGTTTACATCATTAACACCTACAGAAGCCCCTTGAGGCTTTATTTGCAGCGGAGGTGATATATTATCACAGGAGGGTACGAGGCAGGGGGATCCCTTGGCCATCCCCTGGTACTTTGTCAATTCGTCTATCATGATCCAGAGTTTAAGGGCAAGCACACCAGGTGTTAAACAAGTATGGCTGGCCGACGGGGGTGGACAAATTGTGTCGTTGTATAACTGGTACAATCACCTGAGTCAGGAAGGAAAGAAGTATGGTTATCTAGTGAACGGATCAAAGAGCTGGCTGACTGTCAAGTCGGGCGTACTTACAGATGAGGCAAAAATGGTGTTTGGAGATGAGGTCAATGTTACAAATGAAGGTCAGCGCCACATAGGGCCGTCATCGGATCTCAAGAGTTCAAAGATCAAAATTGTCGGGAAAAAATCCTTAGATGCAAAGGAGAACTCGAAACACTATCTGAGATAGCAAGGAGCCAGCCTCATGCAGCCTACACTGTTTTCTCGAAGGGTTACAAATCCAAGTCGTTTGAAGATTACGTTGACCCTATCCAAGAGGCGATCGATGATTTACTTCTCTCAACACTATTCGGTCAAACGGCACCCCTCCCTAGTGATCTGCGTCAGCTTGTTACTTTGACACCCGATCAAAGAGGGGTAGGCGTACCCGAATTACGGATTGAAGCTCCACAGCAGTTTGCTGTTTCTAAGTTAATAACACCACCACGCGTAGATTCTACTACCACACAGAGCATGTTCATGGTCGTAGGCAAGAATTCCACGGAAAAGTTAAAAAGACAACATCAGGCCTTGAAAACTGCGCCGGTGAAATCGAGAATGGAAAGTATTGATTCCACTCTACCCTCGGATCTGCTGTGGTCAAAAGAAACATCCACAATCTTTAAGAAGCAGGAGGAGGAGAAAAAGCGGAAGCACCAACAGAGTGTGCCGGACGTTGAAATGGGATCCTTTACTCCCCTAGTTTTTGAAACCAACGGTGGCATGGGAGCCGACTGCAACTGCTTTCTCAAACGCCTAGCCGAGAAGCTCTCAGAAAAGAATTACATTGCGAGGCTGCAATACACGCTATGCATACTATATTTGATTCAGGTGACACTGATGCCGTACTGCTTATCGACGCCTCTAATGCATTCGACGCACTCAACAGAGCAGCTGCACTGCACAACATCCGGATTCTGTGTCCTATAATAACAATTTACGCTATTAATACCTACACACAGCCAGTTCGGCTATTTGTTATTGGTGGGAAAGAGATCATGTCAGCAGAAGGAACAACACAGGGCGATCCGCTTGCTATGGGTCTATATGCCTTAAGCATCCAGCCTTTAATTACGAGTCTACAAGCAGCGTCCATTGTGAAGCAATGTTGGTTTGCAGATGATGCTAGTGCAGCTGCCTCCATTATGGAAATTAGGACGTGGTGGGATGCCCTTAGCACCCTTGGTCCGGATATTGGTTATTTTTCGAACGACAGGAAATGCTGGATCATCGCAAAACCAGCTAAGGAAGAAAGTGTCAGGGAAGCTTTTAAGGACACGTCCATTAACGTAACAGTAGGGAACTTAAGATAGAGACGTTTTCGGGGCGACGGCAACCGGACTGGCAGAGCAAGCCTGGAACACAGGTTGCCGTCGCTTCCCTCCAAAATTCGAACATTAAGATCGCAGTGAACTCAGGAGGACAGCGCCTTGGAAGATTACCGAAGAGGAAAATATGGCTACGCATAAAGAATTAAGAAAAGTAATGCGTATTTGCTTGCATGCAACAACAATAACAGCAACAACAACAACTTTATTTCAGTATTCCCACGTTAGTACGTGGTATTATTATTATTATTATTCTAAACAATTTTCAATACCAAAGTTTCATTCATAGGATACTCTAACGAAAAAAGTGAGCCAAAAACACACAATTAAAATATCGGAGTTCATACTTGTTGTCTGGACACTTTCATTTGGCTAGTAGGACAATTTTGTCCATGTAAAGCTCACTTACGGTTTGCTGTTTGCCATGTTTGGATCTTGACTCTGTGACATGAAAAATAGAAACATTATAAAGATACAAGTTTAGATAACAGAGCTTGTAGATCCAGCTTGAAATGTGACTCAAAGAAAATAAGGACCATTTAAGAACGATAATCTGCAAAATTCTGGTTGCTAAACGCAACAAACCTGATTGAAATGAAAGTTCTCGCCACAACGCCAAACAGACCAGTTTCACGTCGCCGACGGGAGCACGACGGCAATGTGGTGAGCAAGAGCATGCGCAATATTGCACAAATCATGACGTCACTTCCGGTTTGAGTTGCCGTCGCCCCGAAAACGTCTCCATCTTAAGTTCCCTAGTACAAGGACAGAAACACCCTGGGGCGGCAATAGGATCAAGGGACTATTTAGAGGAATATGTTTGCGAAAAGGTGACCAATTGGATCAATGACTGAGCGCAAGTGTAATCAGCTGGATAGGAATATTTTAGCGCTGCCAGCTCGCTTGGGTGGCCTGGGCCTGGGAAACCCGTCCGTTCCTTGAAGCAAGGCGAGAATATGCTTCGTCCGTCAAAGTAACAAAGCCCCTTGTTGAACAAACTGTATCTCAGTCACATCAGTTACCTGAAGACTCCCTCACAAAACTAGCACAACAGGAAGTAAGAAGTGAAAGATCAAAGGAACTCGAACACATGGCAGAGCGTATTAAGGAGACGGCATCAAGAAAGACTCAGCGAGCATCAGATCTGGCGACAGAAAAGGGATCATCAGCATGGCTAACAGTGCTTCCCCTCCAGGATTAAGGCTTTAACCTGAATAAGAGGGAATTCCGTGATGCCGCTAAACTACGCTAAGACTGGCCAGTGGAAGATATCCCCTCCACATTTTCTTGTGGGGAAGCCTTTACGGCTGATCACTCTATGATTAGCAGGAGGTTTTATTACTCAACGCCACAACGAGCTAAGAGATCTCGAAGCTGAATTTCCGAGTATGGTGTGTAGCGATGTCGCGATCGAGCCAGTACTTCAAGACACGTCCGGCAAACATTTAAACAGAGGATCTAACAAAGCTCAGGAAGCGAGGTTAGATATCCACGCACGTGGTTTTTGGGAGCGACATTGATCAGCACTCTTCGATGTGAGGGTCTGTCACCCTAATGCTGTATCGTATAGGGACCCAGAGCCACAAAAAATTTATCGTATCCATGAGAACGAGAAAAAGCGTCTCTACTGCAAGAGAGTCCTGGACATCGAGCATAGAATATTTACACCTTTGGTCCTCACCACAACTGGCGGAATGGGAAAGGAGAGCTTCATGTATCATAGCCGTTTAGCACAGCTGATTGCCAAAGAAAAAAAAGAAAAAAATCACCCTTGTTTTGCTAAATCATGTGTTTGTTGTGTTAATCAGAGGCCCGTTTTAGATCAATTTTAGGAAAGAGTCGGTGTATTTCTAAACAACGAGACTGGTGTGGCTTTGAAAATTCATTTTCACTTGCCAAATACAGAATAAGGGCTTCTTTTCAACAATTTGGTTTGTTTATGGCCTGAATTATGCTCAAAATTCCATTTTGCATCACCTTAGAGGGACATGAAGTGTTTGTTCCAAAAATTCAATAAATCATAATAAGCCAAATTTTTCTCAACTTATATTGATAATTGGGTGACTAAAGGAATTGTAAATGGTGTTTTGACAAAATAGTTTTTTAAGTGAATTAATCGTAAATAAGATTTTAATAGTTAGCATTGTTATCAATAAAGTATATTCCATTATTATTATTATTAACTTTTTATCAGTTTGAATTATTATTTTTAAATAGTTTTTATTTTTTTATCAACTTTTTGATGCTTTTTATAATTGTTATTAGTAGTCTTTAGATAGTCATTTTACGACAATTCTCTTTCGTACACAAGAAGAATGTACATAGGGTATTTATTTTAATATTTCATATTCTTGAGTCTGTAAATAGTCTATTTTTTTAAATCTATGAATAAAGTTTTGTAGTTATTATTTAAAAAAATATATTATTATTATTATTATTATTATTATTATTATTATTATTATTATAAACTATCTGGAACAAAACTCACGGTTGCTTTCCTGAGGTGCCTTCGCTTGCCATTGTCTTCTCGGTCACAAATACCTTAGTTATGGCACTTGCAAAGGCCAACGTCATTACTAAAAAGTGTAACACTACCAGAACTGCATCTCTGATGATGTGAAAAAATGCGATCTGTATAGTGCCAATGCCTTCAGGTTTCTCCAAAATGGATCCAAAAGCTCTAAACGTGAGAAGCATTGTGTTGAAGCCGTACAGATAACCAGCTATTGCCAAATTCGTGTTGTTGTTTACTGATTCTGAATCCACCCATGTGACAATCCTCAATGGCAATAAGGCAAAAATATAAATAACGAGGATAAGGAGATCGAAAGCATTCCAACGGTCTCTGCCATGAAAACGAAAGAAAATACAAGAATGGTAAAAGCAAACTTAAAAAAAAAAACACGTTAACGTAATATAATACATTTAAGCCTCCTTCACCTATATGTCTTCATCAACATCCTAGTGCATTGGCTCATAGTAGGGCCGCATTTACCGCTCCTGTCCACATTTTTTTTCTTCATTTATTTACTATTTCGATTTTCGCGTGTTTGATCTAACTTATTTCTAAAACAATTCAGCTATTGACATAGAGCATACCAGAAGGGTCGGGCTTTTTGGGACCTAGAATCCATCAAAACGTAAATGACAGCATAAGAAGCTTAAAAGAAGTTAGGTGACAAGAGATGAAATTTCAGCTGCCATTTCTCCCTTTCCAACACCACTTTTTCCACGAAATTCGAACTCCAACGGTAAATAAAAGAAAAACTAGGCTCGTAGAAATAGAACTGTCCCAGCTAAGAAATCGAAACCAGCAGACGTCGTGGTACTAGAAGAAAAAATGGCCGATTCGACTTGCGCAAAAGTGACTGGGCCAACATTGTACAAAATCAATTCCACTCTGGCCTCCCTGGGTAGTCTACTGGACGCATGGATAATAGCTATAGAAAGACTGGATAGAAAACTGGCTGACGCGATCGGTCCCAACATAGTGGGAAAATGTGACGTCACATTATCGAGAGCCATTCAACCTCTAACATCCGATGTTTTGCGCGTCTTATTTTTCATCACATTTTTCATATTTCTGTCTTAGACTGTACCGATTGCCTATGTTTTTAAGTAAAGGATGAACAGGACTTGCTCTTGGAGAAAACAGTTTCAGGGTACAAAACCGGTAGAGACAAAGGACAGAGTAAATGATTATGGAACTTGTGAGAGAGAAGAAATGACTCCAGCGCCAGATAATTTTATGCACCAAACGGGAAGCCTAACTACATAAAAACTATGCGAAAACGTACATGTATACAGCTACAAAACACCTATAAAAAAGGCACAGCCTAATTTTCTACAAACAACAAGAACACCGGAAATAATTTTAACTCCTTTTTATCACGGTTTAGATGATTTCTTTTCTGCTTTTATCGACAAGCTCAGCGAGTGTCGAATTTTATAAGTTAGCAACCCTTGACAAACTGTCGAGGCTTGATGTTTCAAGTGTCCAGCTCAAACAAGCGTTTAATTTTCCCCTCAATTTTATTTACGGACAACCAGTGACAAGGAGCCGTATTTGAGGAATGTATAAAAAGCGGGGATAAAAAGTTCACAATAGATCGAGAAAGAAAATTTGCTTCCGGACCACCCTGGAAACGCCGTTTCTAACTTTTTCAAATCAATTTTCATAGTGAAGAAAGTTGTTTTGCTATTTTCAGTTATAACTGTTCAATGACCCAAGGTACTTTTCAATCAGGTCTTTGAAAAATCGAATTGCAACGCTCTTAAAAAAATTATGTAAAGCGGTTTATTGTTAACTACTAGGATACGACTGGGAGCAAACTCTCCTGGTTAATAGTATAATCTTCAATTCTCTCTTATGAGGAAACACTTATCCTCCATAAGGCTAAATAAAACTTAGGAATACATTATCTTTGAAATACTGACCCTTTTTTAGGATGAAACAAAGTTTAAGCTTTTGTGTAGTGTTAAGGAATACTGTAAATAACCTCTAAAATAAACATGAAACTGTTCCCAAAGAAAAATAGAAGCTGCTTGTATTAAAAAAAGGAGGTAAGTGGATGAGGGTTTGAAAAAATATGACTGTCCGGTCACATTATCATGTTCTTGAAAACAAAATTCATACCCCAAACAAGTACAGGGTTTTTTTATTAATTTGATTAAGAATATATATATATATATATATAAAATATAAAAATAAGTAAATATAAAAAATAACATCAACACTTAGAGGCCTAAACGGAGGCCAAAAAAATGTCAGTAGGTGTTTTCCCATTCATGCTACAATTGTTAGTTTATGTAAGGGAAAAGTACAAAAATTATTCGAGTCTCTTTACTTCCTTCGAATACAAGCTGCGAGGAGCGACGTGAGGCGATTCTCTTCACTGGATATGTAATTTAGTAGTTTTATAATTTCAACTTTAAAAGATGAGCGAAATTAACAAACTGCTCAGGCGAACAACTAGCAGGGTTAATCTAAAATATTACTTGAGCGAAACTGCTCTCCACACAAATTAAAGAAAAAACTAGTCTGCCGATTGGAACTTCCATACGGCACCCTGTGCGTACACTTGCTTGGCGTTAGCTCTGAATGTAGCTAATTTCAGCCATTTTCAATCGAACTTTAATGCTGAAAAGTAACAGCATTCAGTCAGTAACTATGCCTATGCCACAATTCCATCTTTAAAACATCTGTCAATCGTAGTTATGAATAGAAACAAGAAGGAATATTCATAACAATGGCGTCCCAAAACAGTCGCCACGTGTACTAAATATGGCCCTGGTAAGGTCAATTTTTGGGACGCAATTTTCTCAAAGACAAGGGCAAATGACATAAAACAACAACAAGAAGTGCTTATCTCGAAGGTTCAAGTGTGGCTATGAAAGATCCCCGTCGCCGTAAGACAACAAAGGGAGGGAAAAACATAGACCAAAACTTAAAAAAGTACTAAATACTCCGAAAAAGAACAACATGCAGGCAAAGAAACCCAATGTTTCGACTGGTTTGCGCCACATTTTCGCCATCGTTTCGTCACAAATTTCCACTATAGATGGAACCATCCAACGCCATCTTGGAACACGAACCAACCAATAGGCAATAAGAAATCAGCTCACGTGATATAAGTTTCCTAACCAGTCTTTTTGTTATCCATGCTGGACGTTACTGGCCAAACATATTACAGCTAATGGCTGAACTTTCTATTAAACCGAAACGCATGTTCTCTACTCGGTACTCTTTTCAGCTCAGTACTCTTGAGTGACTCACCCTACGTTATAAACGAAATAATATGCTTAACGTTGCAGCTGAGCAACCATCGACCTCAAGCCACTTTTACGCTTCGTTCGTGCTTAGCAATCTCCCGCGTGCGTCCATAACTCGATGTTTGCAGGCTGCACGTTTACCATTTCTTAATTAGAGATATGACACTCATGATAATTTTTGAATTAAGGACAAGGAATATATTCATACCTTATGTAGTTGAATTTTAGCCGATTCAACTTTGCTCTAAAAAGTGAAAAACCAGTGATCCTGTGTTCTGACGGTTTCCTTGCAACGTCAATAATTTGATTCATTTCAGTTAAAAGGCGACCGGTGAAAAAAACTAAAATTGCCCATTCAAGACCACTAAACGACAGCTTCGACGGCTCGACACATATTGCCAAGTGCAGTACCAGCAGAACCAAGTAACTAATCATTTCACGTATGAAGATACAGAGGGGGATCTTGAAATAGGTCGTGAAATAGCTCTTGCTCTTGCCAAGCCCTGTGAAGAGTTGACAAGTACAATGATTAGGAATTCGCCATCCCATGCCAGAGCTTAATTGAGGGGCCAAAATAGATTTATACAAGTACTAAAACTTAATTGCCGACTGGCGTTTGCATCATCTACAATTAAAGAGTCAGTTAAATGGTACTACAATCCGGCTCTTGACTAGAATACAAAGGGGGAATTATTATTATTTTTTTTATATAATACCCACCCCCCTTGTATTCTGAAAATGATGATGATGAAAATGGTGGTGATAACAAATGAAGAATAAAAATAATGAAAATTGGAACCATCCGCCATCTTCGATCCGCCACTTTGAACCAATTACATGCATTCCGTTACCCGTATAAATCGAGACAATCGCAAAAGAAAGTTTTTTCTTTTCGTATAGAAATGCTAAGAACCAAAAAAAAGCTGCAAGTTCTGAAATCCCGAGAGAAATAAACCCACCATCTGCTATGACGTCATCGTGACATCACTGCTTCTTGCTTCTTTAACGATCATTAATAACACTTTCCAAAGTAAAATGTGTTTTCCCAAACTTGTAATTTTCCGTCAGCCTCGTGGAAATTAGTGAGTCTATTCTTCCCTCATTGTAGATCATGTAGTCCCAACAACAACAAAATAGTGAGTCTTAGTGTTTGCGGCACTGGTGGTGAATGTAAGAAGCCGAATTCAGGTAATCGGGGTAAATTTTGATTAGACGAACAAAACTTAGTTTAGCCTAGCCTGCTAAATCGGCCGTCTTTTCTCGCTCCTCACCGGTATTGACGTTTTACCATTTTCTCTCGCTAACTCCTGATGACATGTTCTTAATGACGAGGACACTCAGTAGACTTGTACTAATTGTACATGTTTGTACTAGTTTTCGTCATTTTGGACTTGCATCATGTCGAAAACAACTTTTTCACTAAAAAAGAAACGCTCTACAATTTATTTTCCTCCAACAATTATAATCAAGCAGTCTCAGAATCCAGAAAGTATCGGCGACACATATAAACAATGAAGTTCTCAAAAATCAGAATAATAAAAGTTTGTTTAACGTTGACCGCCGCTGTCAATGAGGGGCAAGATTCTCTTGAATTTCCTCTCTGGAGCGGCCGCGGGGGAGCGGCGGCATTATCGCAACTGAAACCAGGATCGGCAGTGATGAAAGTGAAATTGCAGTTGTTAAAGACAGCTTCAGAGAACAGATTGTTGCCTCCATTTTCATCCTGCTGTTTTGGCGTCAGTACTTGGCTTTTAGCGACTGATTTATGACGTTCTTCATCCTCAATGTACCAGCTAAGTTTTAAGGACATGTCCTTCTGCTGCTTGGTGGACGTATTGGAATAGCTGTCCATAGACTTCAAGTTTCTCTGACCAGCAAGTGCAATGACGTTAAAAGGCTCTACGTTTTTCTTTTCTGAGCGTTGAGATCATTGTCCAACGTATCGAATGGTTGGTGTGCTTTGCTGACATTCCGGCGGCCTCGCTCATGGATCTCATAAATGAACCGCGGGAATTTCTTTCCCCGTGGCTGCTTCTTAAACTAGATATGGGATGATGGCTCAACGATCGACGCCAGATAAAGTGAGGAATCTACACTGGCCATATTAAGCGGTATTCTTGCCAGATGTTCTTTAAATATTTTCAAGGGACAGCCGCGGGTCCATCAGTAGCGAACATTTTTGTATTGAACGTGCCGTCAGGGACAAATTCGTGTTCTCCACTGCGGGTCTTGCTTTCTCGTTCTATAATTTATTCAACATACACACTTTCTTCGGGGCCGTCTTCACATTTATTTTGGATGTCTTCATATTTCACTAGGTGATGTTAGTCACGAGCTCTCCATCCAAAGACCATGCAAAGAACATACTGTACGTAAGAGGCTTTGTGGTGTGTGGCATTCTACTGAGTTGTTTCTCGCCCCACGTCCAAGCGCTTTCTTCGGATTGTGCCCTTTGCCAGTACGGCGAAACTGCTTTCGTTTGCAAGACAGAGCCTCGCTGGCCTTCGCGAACCGCCTGTCAATGAGCATCCTGTAATGGTTCCTTTTTCCCTCTATAAACGGTCAAAACTCCGTAACATACACGTTAGTGTCAGGTTTACGTACGTTTAAAACAAAGTGAGCTAAAAGTTTGTCAAGTTTTTGCTCTGAGGCCACTTTGCGTCTTTGTAGCTGTGTTTTTGTTTCGGTTTTCATTATTAAAATTGTCAATGTCTTCATCGTTTAGTTGCCTAATTTCTGTTTGTTCTGTTTCTTCATTAGTTTCTGTTTGTTCAGTTAAGTCGGTTTCAGTCAATAAAAGCTCGTCGTCGCTAAAAAAGTCCAAAGGACCCAAACAAGTCAAAATTAGATTCGTCCACCGGTTCGTCCAGTTCAGCCATAGTTGCTCCTTTTGCATCCGCCGGTATTCGCTCTCTTGTAAACTGGTTAAACCAGGACACCACTGTGTATTACGGCCCCGTGGTCTACCAGCATTTACCCTAGATTAAGCCAAAACTAAAAGTGAGGCTTCCGATAACTTAAAACAATTAACTTCAAAGAAATAGCCTTCAACCAATTGCAAAGAAAATCGAAGTTACACAGTCGACTCCCAATAACTAGAACCTTCAACGGAAATCAAAAAAAGTTCGAATTATCGGGCGCTCGAAGCAAATAACCGGAAGTAAGGAAATAAGCAAATCGATGGGAAGGGAAGGCAATTAAGCAGCAAAGTTCACAAGAATAGGCTCTGAATAATTTACTCGGTTGTTTTTCAGTACACAGTTTTTTTTCCCCGACTTGTCACGCACTTATAACCTGGTTCCAGTTATCGATGGTAAAGTTGTATAGAAATGAGCTCAAGGGAAACAAAAATTACTTCTAGTTAGCGGGAGGTTCGAGTTATCGGTTATCGAGGGTTCGAGTTACCGAGGGTCCGAGCTATTGGGAGTCAACTGTACTTAACTTTCAAGGAGGGTGGTTTTCGTGTTGACAGAACTGTCAGCTATTGTAATGGAAGACGTCATTCATTTTTTTACAAGCTGCAGTGGTTAAAGATTTGTCATTTAGACTCTTCCATGGTCAAGAATATCTACGGTAACGACTTGACTGCATTTGCAAAGTTGTCGTATGTAGGTACGTAGATGTACAGCGATCGATGGCAATGCGTTAGTGGTAGCTATAAATCTGGAGGCCGATTTCTTTGCCGTGGCCAAGTATTGGCGTTAATTTTTTTCCATTTGTGAAGTCAGATGGTTTGAAGAAGGTTATGGCGTTAACATTACCCAATGATTTGTGCAAATGTTGGGAGAAAACAACAACAACACCGCGAAACCGAGTGACATCTTTCATTATCGCTGACAGCTTGTTTTCTATTGCAGCTGCCAATTTTCTACTAGAACTTAGTCAGATCTCTTTTAGAAAAACAATGCCTTCATTCAGCAATTTTATTTTGACACAGAAATAGTTCAAGAATGCTAGAACTATCGGTTTCATTGCTGTTTGGTAAATAGTTATGTTTTCTCGCAACTTTGTACACTGGAAATTTATACAATTATTTTTACATGTATCTGTGCGATTTCGCATCGTCGCGAAATATAGATTGCTTTCCAGCTTTGTACTTCATAACTTTTAAAACTATAGCAGTAGTGAATTGTCAAAAATAATAAGAGAATGTGGAGACCAACGCTTTTTATAAGAGAGAGGGGGGTTAAGCTTTTCCAAAATCGTTGTTTTCAGTTCAATGGACGGTTTTATGTCTGGGTGACTTTTTCTGTGTTTACCGGTATACTAAACGATAGGTTTATGACCAATCAAAACGAGCGTACTATCTCAGTTATTTTATAAAATGAAATAGACTCTTCTTTAAAGCTAGTATATATGGCCCATACACACTGCATTACTGACTAAACTAAGCTGCCCCGCCCCCCTCCTCGCTTCCATCCACAGGTCGTGTTTACATGTCGGTCATTTTGTCTAAAGGGAATCTACCTAAATGCAAAATCGGACGAATTTTGTGTTCGCCATGCTTTTTGTTTGTTTGTTTTTGTTTTGTTTTGTTTTCTTTTTTCACCCAAAAAAACTCACTTACGCGTTCACACAAGCACAGTAATTATTAAATTAAACCTAAATCAATAATGGTTTATTAAATTACTTTTGTGAGTTACATTACCTAAGGTCAGGAGAAATGTTAGTGGAAAAAGAAAAGCGTCGAAAATACACCAAACGAAGAGGAAAAACTGCGGGAATCTCCTGTAGCGTAAATGACCATACCAATTAAAATTCAGATGGTCTATGATGGCAGTGTGATTGAGGACCTATAATATAAAATATATATATTTACGAAAGCATTAGGTATTAACTTGATAAGAGGTCAGTAAAATAAGTTTAAAATTTTGTTTGATAGAACCCAATGCCACGTGTGATATCGCGCGCTGTATATTATTATGTAAAGGAATATTCTCTTTTGGAGTGGCAAGCTACGTGCAAACGAACGCAACAACTCCCAACACTGGTAGGCCAACAACGCTGGGAGTTGTTGCGTCCGTGTTGGTAGTGGTGTGCAAACGGATGCAGCAACTCCCAACAATGTTTGGACCTGCAGTGCAGCGTGGGAAGGATCCAAGCCGTGGCCCCAAAAAATGTTGGAGGAGCTGTGCAAACGGATCCAAAATTGTTGCGCTACGCTTCGGTGATCAAGGAAGAAAAGAGGTGGGAGATACTGGCTAAAAGATTTCACCGGTTTAAAACTTTGCGCAACCACACGCAACAACATGCAACACGGTGTCCAAACGGACGCAACATGTAACATCCACCAATGTTAGGAGTTGTTGGCCAACAATGTTGCATCCATTAATATTTCACTGGGCTTTGTAATGTACCTTTTTCTGTTCAGTCGCAGTCGCAGTCTCCACGAAAACGTCTAGTTCGCGACAGGGGAAACAACTTAGGTAAAAATATAATCTATTATTAGTAATAACATCCAATAAACGTAATGTGAACTCTTCCACGCTGCTAGCCAGATTGATAAAGTCGTATTTGCCGAATGTTTCCTTATCTGCCCGTGCATGGAGCTTTTCAGCGACCTAAGAAAAAGAATATTGGATTTGTCAATACTTCTAAAAATTGCTCTCACATCCCTTTACTCAGTCTTGCTTTCTTTACTATATATTAACTCAATGGAGGCAATAGACGGACTATCATGAGTTTATTAACTGGGTTAAGTTTAATAACAGCCCCAACTCTTCTTTACCCTTAATCCCGATACGGAAAACGATGGCGCCAAGCGCAGAAATCAAAGGAAATCTACTAAGTTATGTCAAGGTCATATCAACACACGGTCCCATGTCATGTCAAAGTCGGTGCGTATAGCCATACGAAAATGAATTTTACGGTGCTAAATTAGCAAAAGACATCGATTTGCGAATTGAAGGAAGCACAAAGTGTAGAAAAATATGGCTGGGACAAGAAGGTTCTGGTGGACCCAGATGGCGACGTGCCCGAAAGGAGAAGAAAATTGTTCCAAGGCGAGTTCGATAATCTAGCGCAAAGTTCACTCGAGGCTGAGGCTCACTCTGGCTGTCGCGGACAGCCAGACGATCTCATGACACGTTCCTTTTTTAAAACGGGCAGTTGTTGAAGATTTCTTCCGGAAACAAAACAAAAGCAGGTCGCAGAGGGGTATGCGTGCTCAAGGACCAATAATTTGAGACGTCAGGAAAAAACTAATAAGGCTGTACTTGTTGTTCGGCCATGGCATATATATATATATGTTGGAGGGATACACCAGGCCAGCCATGAAACAAGCTATAAGTATTCACGAGTGCAAATGGGTTTTTTCTTGCTCCCTTTTTCCTCAGCAAGGAGACTGACGATATTATTGCCACTATAAGTCTTGAGCTCCTGGAAAACGTGGGTTTTGTAAACAAATCGCAGCTCTGGCTCGTTGAACCAAAAATACCTGGAACCAGAAATAACGAAGCCTATCAGGTGCACGGACACACGCCTATAGTCGGGACTGCCCACGATAGAAGCTCAACAAGATCCATCCAGGAAAAGGAGCACTGAAACGGAATCCACAACATGAAGCTGAGTTTGAAAGGCACATCCTCACTAGGGACTAATTTGGGTAAGGGAGAAGAGAAAGCGCAAATTACCCTCAGAAATATATAACGGCTCAAGAACCTAGGGTGAACCGGCAGTAGACCAAAAGCGTGTTGACAAACTTCGTGAAGAATATTCTAAATATAAACACCAGAATTTTGTTTCCAAATTCCTGTAATACAGCACTGAAAAAAAGCAAGAGCTGGCCTTTAAACCTCGAAGTGTCATCTGAGAAAGAAAAAGAACACACGCCCACTTACCCTTTTTCCAGCTTCGCAGGGATAATACTGCTGGTTCCGTGAGCGAATCGGAAAAGTAGTATCCACGTAATCCGTACTCATTAAGGGCCTGTTTACATGGAAGTGGGGGACCCAAGATAGGTGAAGTAACATGCAGGTCACCCCACACATCATGTAAACGCAGTCCATTGAGCTCATTGTCAAGCTTGAGAGTATCCAAAGACGCGCGACTTATTTTATCTTAAAACTGCCTTATTCTTCTAATATAAGTTATTATTAAAAACTGAATCATTGGATAACGCAATTCTAGCATTTTGATTGGCTTAGCCGTTATGGTATATGAGCTAATATACCATGTTCTCCATATATGGTCGGTGTACGCGTCAGTTTAAAATTGGAAGCTAGCTCAGATTTTTTTTCGCGAAGGATAGAACGGCGCCCGAAGCAAATCGTTTTAATTCATTTCTTAGAATACTAGAATAGTGCAATTTCAACGAAAGAAAAAAGACAAAAACAAACAAAAAAGCCACAAGAGCTTGTTTGAAAGTTTGTCGAAAAACACATGGAACTAAAGTGCCTTGACCAGCTACGAAAGAAGACAAGTGTTGTTTCTTCATGATCGCGAAGCCATTCGCCGATCGAGTCACTCGCCGATAGATAACTGCAGCTTGTTTATCCAACATCAAGAATTTAAATCACAAGTAACCAGCTACAAATACAGGCTATGCAGCCATTCACTAGAGCAATCGAGGCGGCAGTATAGCTTCTTTTCTCGTTCAGCAAAACCAGCTTGTGGCTTCAAACAACTTCGTAACAAGCGACGAGGTAATACCAGTAGTTTTTCTCCCTTGTTCTTACTTTTATAACTGCACCGAAAATCCAAATTCATACTAATTTCGACGGTTGTCACTTAAAAATTCCTTTCCTTCACATTATCTGCCAGGTTTTTTAAGCTGTTCTGCTGTGTAAAATCCTAGAATCACGATGAGTTTTAAAAAAACTAATGTTCATCGCACAATGTTTTGATTTTTCATTCATGCAGTCTAGGCGAGCCCCTTCGCGCGTTGACAGTTTTGATAGACGTGTGACATGTCAATAGCGGAAGTCCCTTGTCTTTTGCGGTTTGTTCTAGTCGGGGCGATTCAACGAGATTTTGTGGGCGTTTTTAATAAAACAATTATTCCACTCGGGCTTGTTGGATATGAGATGATTATAGCCAACTCGGCGCTATGCGCCTCGTTGGCTATCTATCATCATATATCCAACGCGCCCTCGTGGAATAGTTGTTAATAAGTCTCGTTTGCGAACTCTAAACCTAATATCTATTTGTTACTGGCATGAACTTTTAGATCTAACCTTTTTTTTTTTCAAAATGACAAACGGTCTTGTTGTGAACTCCTCTGTCCTACCTAAAGTTCGCAAATACGGTAGACGCACTAGATCCTCAACCAGCAATGTTAATAAATACATAATTAACAAATGTAAAACAGGTACGTACCAAAATCCTTTCTCATTAGAAGTAGTAGAATTTGGAATTTTTTTTTTTTTTTAGCGGATGAACTAGATTTGAATCCGCATTAGCTGTTTCCTATGATTGTGAAGACCCACGTTCGTTCAAGTCTATCTGTTTAAAATGTAATAGTGCTCGTCCCTTGTCTCGTCCAAGAACTTGTTGTATGTAGCTGTAGTTTTTCTTGCATCGCTGTGCTTTTTAATATTTTTTGTTTTCATTATTTTTTTATTAGTATCCGGGCCCGCTGTAATTGGCCACAGCTGTTGCAGTGTCCCTGCCAACGTTATTTCTGTTTGACTGTCTGTTTGTTTGTTTGTTTTTAGCGAAGCTAAACAAATAATTAAACTAAAATAAACGTGATCAACTTAAAATGAGAGATTATATCGACAAGAGGGTTACTCCACCAAAGCGGGTTACCTCGCCTACCTGGAGTCCCCCACCTTCATGTAAACAGGTCCTTTAATTAGCTGCAGGGAAGACTTGAGAAGGAAGAAACTTGAGACTATTGAGAACAAAAACTAGAGGCACCTAAAAACTTAAAGAGACTTTCAAATAGGGATCAAGCTAGAATCATCTGCTGTTGAGTGTTTTAGGGCTGATGGTGTCGCTGAGGAATGTGATCGCTTGATGTCGGCTTTCCTAGTTCGGTTTTCATTTGGAGGCTTCGAGCAAAGTTTTCCGCAGGGCTTGCTATAAAGCCTGAAAAGGAGCAAAGTGACCGTTTGGTCAAGTCTGCCTCGTTCAATATCTTACCGAAGTTCGTTTCATTCAGGTATTCGGGTGAAATCGCATTATGTCCGGGTAAAGACGAATAGATACATTGCTAGAAATTTGAGTCAAAATGGCGGATGTGCGTACTCATTGGGTCGTTTACCCTATTCAGACTGGGCTTTTTTTTCGTTTCCTGCGACCGAGGGGAGCCTCGAAGGCCCCCCTCGTTTATCCTTTGGCCACCGAAATTATACATAATAATGTACTCATCATTTCCAACTCCTGGACTAACCTAATTGACACAATGACGTAGTCTGACATTAATATGACATCACATTTTTTTGTTTATTGGCAGAATCCAAATTTCTGTCAAAGTAGACATTAAAAAGGCACTTAAATAGTAAGTTCTCTAATAGAGGTTTGTTAACACATAAATGGTCTGTAACAATAGCAGTGATGTCATGATGACGTTATTTATTACTAAAAAAAAACTGGAAACTTCTGCCATCTTTGATCCGCCATTTTGAATTAATTAAACGTATTCCACTTACTAATCGAGGTATTTTTAACAGAAAACTTAATCTGAGTATAAAGGATATTTGTTAAATGCAAGAAATAGCTTTTTTTATGGACGATTTGCATACATCTTCTCTGTTTTTAATGCGACTGGGAAGCACGGACTTTATAATGCGAGTAAGAGCTACAAGTACATTGTCCAAAATGTCTGACATCCGAGTTTATTCAATACAAGAAATCAGGCACCTTATTGCCTGATTTCCTAACTCGGTCTTAATAATGACAAGATTTTTTGACAGGCAGAACTCGTTTCAACTCGTTTTTTTTAAAACGCCAACCTTTTTCTCCGTTTTTTCGTTGATCAAAAAAGGTATGTGCATGTGTAGCAGTGATGTACGTAAGTCTTTTCGAACAAGTCTTGTTTCAGTTGACCGTCCGCGAAAACGGATTCAAAAAGTGTTTTCAAACACCACTTATCAATCTCGAAGATGCCTTGAAAAACAGTAGAAGAATTCACTTTGTGCGATGCCAATATTTCATTTCACTCTCAGGCGCCGGGAAGTGAAATGCAAGTCCAGAAGTTAAGACAAATTAACACTGACATGTACAAAAGGACTATATAATAAAATAACTAACCTTTACTGCCAATAAAAAAGGATTGTTACTATAGGTCAACAGAGCCGTTGCTGTAACTTCTGCTTGAACAATTTCGTAGGTTCCAAATTCTAATACCTCCATTAAAAAGGCTTTGTCGCGGTCATCTAAATTCATAGGACCATAATAAAAAGAAAGAAACAGTCACACCTATACAAACGGCCAACACCTTTTAACGACTTTTCTTTGCAGAGCGGCCGTGGTGAAGAGGTTTCGCCAAAGAAAATTAAATCTTGGAATAATTGAAAAGCATGCAAACAAACTTATTGGAGTT